CATTTATTTAGATTAGAAATTTGAATGGGCAAACATTTGTACTCTACTAAAATTTGATCCACATCCACAATGGGAAGCGACTAAAATATTTTTTTTTTAACTAATGAGTTAAGAAATTGTATTTTTTGACTATTTACCATATTTGGAAATTGTGGCCTTAGTTCCTTGTTGTGCCCTTTAACTAATGTGTATCTAAAAGTATAAATTTTAAAATATTGATTTTGATAAAAATAATATTTGTTCATTATCTTATGAAGTATTTTATGTATTTTATGTGGTTGAATTTAACGAAATGTGCAATAAATAATGCAAATAAAAATACTATTTTTATTCTCAAGGGGTAGAAAATTTCCCTAGAAAATCAAATTGACCAAATGTTAAAATATTTATATATCTGTTTCTAATCGATCTAAGTCCCACAAAATGATCCAAATTGAACATAACTATATTAATTTTAAAGATAATTTTGTTGAGCTTAAAATCGACCTTTAAAAATTTATTCATTTTAAATTAAAAATAATAAGGAATTGACATACTTAAAAATAAATGTTTTTATTTTTGGCCATAAAAAGTTCGTACGACATTAATAAACTCGATGTAGCATTGAATGACAGGGATATAGAGACCGATTGAAAATGTATAGAGACTGCCCAATAAGCCAGTATAAAGGAAGCAGGGGTTTATAAAAACCAATTTGTCTTTATAAAGACATATGCTGACCAATTGGGGTTTATAAACTCTTATATTCTCAAAACAATTAATATTTATAAACAAATAAATAAAATGCATGTCGTTGTGTACAATTTGAACCATTTTGGAGTAGCAACGAACGAAGGTTTGAAACTGAAATTTGAATATTTTAACATCATTTGAAGTTATTGTAGTATAGCGGTACTCTCTTACTTAGTTTTTCCAACTGTACCGACTCTAATTAGATAGATAAGACTGGAGTCTGTGTCGTTGGGATTTCAACTGCATTATTATTATTTTTTTGGGTAGTTTATTAGGTTAAGCACTTCATATGCATTTTGTAATTTATCTTTAATGGACCTGAAGGCTTTGAATTACAAGTTAAATAAAATAAAATTCAATTTGCTGCAATTTATTATTTTTGGTTCACATTGGGTTGCTATAAAAATTACAATATCGATTCATGATGTGTTACCCCCTAATAGTATTTTTATAGGATTTCGGGCATGTTTTGCAACCGAAGTGGCTCTAATTTGATATTTCGTGTTCTCCTAAAAAACATGTAAGTATCGACATATATAAATGAGGATTCTATATACCCACCATGTTGCGCCATTGTTTCACCCACCTATCAGATATATTTACCTTATGCAATTTCGTTATGTTGATAATTTGCATTTATATCGAAGTTTTTGCGAAATTGTACCTGCGAAGTAAATTCAAAATTCGTCATTACATCACAACAATCCTTTCTGGAACATTCCTTTCTGATTATTCGGAAGTAGAGGCTTTGGATTTATAAGGCTCTAAGACGCCGGACGTTAAATTTCAGTATTGAAAATGTTAATACAGTAACAATTCAATAATAAATAATAGATGAATATTGTTTTTGTCTTCATTATGGTCAGTAATACTGAAGAAGATATTGCTTTTAATATATTGTGTATATATTGCATTTCCGTCAAAAGTAAACCAAAATCGAAGAATTTTTTTAATTGTGCTTAAATACGTGAAGTAATGACAAAAAGTACAAGGAAAAAGCACTTTTGTCACTTTTTCTTCTTGTTATTAAAAATTCAAAAATGTCGCGTGAGTTGCGTTGCGCTAGTGACCCAGAAAACTCCTTCTCAAATAAAGGATATGTCAAATTTTAAAATTTTGAAAGATACTTTGTCGAACAGTCTAATACATATTGATAGCTGTTCCTTTGTGAAAATATTTTCAAGTAATATTGTTTTGAATATAATTTGTTTTTGCCAACGCGAAAGAAAGAACGACAAAAAAGCGACAGTCAGCGGTACAAATCTAGAAAATTGTGGTTCCTACACACAGTCAACAAAGTGGGTTTTTGGTGGATGGGGCCAAAAATATTTATTAATGTCATAATAATTTATTTTCTACAAATGTTGTCCCATTTGTAGGCGTATGCGGCTATGTTGCAAAAATTCAATACAAAAATAAAACAAATATAAAAACTGTCGAAACATTTTCGGCCAGAACATAAATCGAGGAGGCGTTCATCTTGGCAATGTTTCCCAAAGATTACAACATCCTTTATCTGTACAGTCACTTACATAATTCTTCATTGGATATAAATTTCTATGGACGATATTATGGAATGGGACTGTTGTATTTGTAACTTTTTATTTGTCCACATACTAAACAAATTTTCTTAATTCGTTCGTTGTTGTCTTGGCTCGCCAACATTCGTGAATACCCACACTCACTCTACTGTTCACAATACATACAATCGGGGGGGAAATGGAAAATATGTCGCCAAATTAGATGACGCCATATCATTTTCATGCCACAGTCGAGTTGCCACAACGCTCTTGGCCCAGTCGACAGTGGATGCCATGAAATGGCCATAAATATTTAAGACATCAATTGAAGCTAACAGAGCACAAGTAACACGAATTCCACTACCCTGCTGATGTTTCTGTTTCTTGCTGTCTGCCTGCCTGCCGGCGTTTATGGGCAACATCCTAAATGGAACATTTCAAATGCAGTTAAAATCTCCTCCTGATTTCCGTATCCTATGTTGTGGCATCAGATCTTGGAGTTTGATTCTAAGCTTGCTGCAATCGTTTCTGCCGATTTTATGCAATTTAAGCATTTTATTGCTATGTGACGTTTGTTCGACGTTGCGTTTCCTTTGGCTTTCAGACAACACTTAGCCATACTTTGACATTAATATTTTGTGTTGTTTTTGGGATTTTGGTCAGACTGTAAACATTTGCATTTTATATTAAATTTTGTTTCACACACAGAGCACCACGAGCATTTAAATTCGGGCATTTTAAATGCACAGTGAACCAAAAGAATGGTATGAAAGATATGTAATCATTGACTAATATAAAACTCTCATATCCATGCAGAAATGAAGTTTCCAAACCTCCTGTTAATATTCCTTGCCTTTAATCCCATCCCACTTAACCTCTGTAAATAAACACCAATATTTAGTTTTAAGTTTAGTAGTTCTTAACACTAGATTGCCGAAGGCGGTCATATTTACCGAAGAGCTATAATTGGCGAGTACAACAGTCATATGGACATTCCCGGCAAAAGGTATACCAAAGTCAAAGTTAATTGTACTTAAATGCGTGAAGTTACGGCAAAAAGTTCAAAAAATAACAATATTTGTAATTTTTTCTCCTTGTTCTTAGCATGAATACTAATTTAATGGCTATAAAGGTAGCCACCAAAAAAGGACAAAACAAAAATAAATGTAATAATGATTCATATTCTTTATTTATATAACGAATATTTAAAGTTCAAAATATTCTCAAAATTCGCATTGTTTTTAAATTTAATGGACTTCCACGTTATTTTTACAATTTTATTGTTAAGGAACTATTGCCCACTGTATTTAATACATGTATAACATTTCTTTATAGACACTGTGGCATGTCATAAATCTTCGCAGAATGTTGCAATCATTATCTATAAGCCAATGGTGTGAAACACGCACACTGCCACAAAATGTTATGTGATTTGTCAGAAATTCAAAATCAAATCCTATTACAACAAATTTTAGTAATACAAATAAACTGAATTGTAAATTATAAAAACGAAAGGCTGGGAAAACTAGTTCTATCATTTGTATTTTTTGGCTAGTATGAAAAGTCAATGCAAATGTCGGCCGGAAATTATTGATAGTTATCTTCTGGTAACATGTATACAATTAAGTATATAGCTCATAAGAATGTATTATGTATTATTAACTCATAAGAATATCATTTTAACACACATGTATCCTATCCTTGTGTATTAAAATATATGAAATGAATTTTCTTTTAATAATATATTTACAAATTCATTTGACCTATTTTTTTAATTTATTGTAAATTCAATATCATCTTTTGGTGTAAAGACCTACGAAATTTAAAATAGTTGCGGGCATAGCACATATATAACCAAAAGTCTGGCTTTCCTTTTCATTGCAACTCCGATCATGTAGCTCATCTCGAAAGAGAAATTAATAAAAAAACATTTACATGAATGATCTTCGCCCTAAAAAGGCATAAGAACAAAAAATCAAAAAATTCAGCTTGAGCCCGGTTGGGATTTGAACCCTGGTTCCCATGGCATCTGTTGATGTCCGGCGCCTTAGCGTTCAAAGCCACCTCCTTATCTTCCTAAGGTTGCACAATATCCAGTTGCATACCATTGAAGAAAAATATTGTAGTCTGTAGGAAAAAAAGTCCGTTACTACAAGAAAAATCTGCTCTGAAAAGGAATGTTCTGGTGTGATGCCAAATGTCTGAACCTTGACAAGGTTGAATTTAATTCGTAGATGCAATTTCGCAACAATAGTCGACATAAATACAACTTATCAAGTAAGAGTACATTTAAGCCACATTGCCCAATATGCCTGATGAGCCGCTTAACCAACGGAGAAACGCGTCGCATAGTGGTGGGAATGTTGTATCTCTCTGGCTTTCCTTTTCATTGCAACTCCGATCATGTAGCTCATCTCGAAAGAGAAATTAATAAAAAACAAAAGTCTATAAATTTTGTAGAATTTTCCCCAATTGAAAGGTTGAAGAAAGATGTGAGAATGATTGCATTGAATATATAATTGCAATGTTGAAAATTTAGTTAAGCTCTTATTGAAATCTGCAATATAGCTACAATTGGTGAACAAATTCGACTTAAGTATATTGTGTTTTAGACTACACTTGAACTTTATATACCTTAAAAAGATGTTTCAGTTTATGTATTAAAAACGACATTAATATACATTTTATATTTGCTTTATTAATAATAATTGTCAGTTATTTTCAAAAATAAGATTGGTCTTAACACACCTTGGCATTAATCAGTCCTACACAACATTGACGGGATCTTCTTTGTGGTAGATCTTAACGTCGTGGAATTTAAAGTTGGGAACATCAAAGTGATAATCGTGAACAACGGGACGATTGAATGGGAATCCAAATGGCAACGAGTCCACATAACGGCTTCCAGAACCAACACCACTGCTGACAACCGGATCATAGCCGGAGTACTGTTCAACCTCGGGTGCATGATAGGGGAAGACCATGAAGAAGAATTGGAAGGCAAGCCCACCCTTTTTGCCCTTGGGCAACATAATGCGTTGTGGCACACCAGAATGGGCTTCGTTTTGATTGAGGTGGAATTTGTAATCGGATGTAGTGGCACTCAACACCTTTCGGTATAGTTCGACGTATGTGGTGCGATCTTCAACCCAATAACCAAAATCTTCGGACTTGCGTTTTAGTTCATTAACACCAGCTACTAAATCCACCACATAGTGATCCAATTCAAAGAAGTTCTTGTAGTTGTTCTCCAAGTGCAGTACACGGCCATTTTCGTCATATTTCGGACCAATGAATATCTTTACGACAGCCTTTTGAGCTTTGTCGGATGTAACGTCCAAAGTGAATTCGAAGGGCTTATGATTCAGTCGCAATTGACGAGCTTTGATGACATAACTTTGACCATTGTAGACAGAGTTGCGACCAAATTTGTACAGATAATCGGATGAAACGTCACCTGAAACGCCTTCCACATTCACAGCGTTGCTGATGTCAGCATCGAAGTAATCGAAGTAGGTGTACAGACTCTCGGGCACATGAACATCGGTGATCGAAACTCCGGGAAAAACGAAGTCATCGTATTTATATTCGGGATATGTGCCTGCTAAGCGCCAGTAGTAGCCGACAATATCCTTGTAGATCGAATAGAAGATTGGGTCGCGTATTGAGGTTTCATATTGCTTTAGGATGACAGGCAAGTTATCGCCATATCTGCCGTATGGACGGCCCTCGTTAACTAATTCGCGGTACAGTAGGTCCAGACTGCCGTATTTTTTGTAATTGACAGAATCGGCGTTACCTTGCAAAATGTTGCCTAATTTCTCTACAGCAGTGCGATAATCGTCTTGGGTGGTGTCAATATATTCGGCAATGCGGCTGGTATAGAAGTGAATATCCCTTACAATGTCATAATTTTCCGGATGGTAGAAGTTGTAGTTGTTGTCACGGTTGGGGAAAGCAACACCGTTATAATAGCGCAAATTGCTGGGGTAGCCGTGTTCGTACTCTTCATAAATATTGAATGGAGGAATTTCACCCAGGTCATTGGACAAGCGTTCCAAATAATAGCGGGCCAACAATTGTTGGTGAAGATACAAGTAGAGCTCGCCGCGTTTGTCCTTGGCAAGTTCCTTGCCAGGAACTCCACGCATCCAATACGGGTAGTCGATGTTGTAATAGTAATAGAATGCATTCAAGCCAATATCTTCCGTGAAGTAGGCCAAGGAGTGGGCGTAGTTGACACCGCCGTAGACATTGCTGTAGTTAGTCTTGATCACGACATTGTAGACGTTGTCAAGTTTGTTCACATTGTGGAAGCCGTGCAACTTGTAACGTTCTGCCGTCTCCAATGTTTCCACGTCGAAGAAGTGCCAGGGCAAGATTTCATATATGGCTGGTAAAGTAATGCCATGCAGATCATCACGATATAGACTAGCAACTGTCAATGAATACACGAAGAGTTGCTTGTTGACATGGGTGCGGGCCCAGTAGACGGCGTGGGTGAATGCCTGCCAGTCCTTGGCAAAATAGAAAACCTTTGCCAAACCTCGGGCATAATCTACATAGCGCTGGTCGACAGGAGAGAACACTACGTCGTCGTGCACAGGCTGGTGTTGCCACAGTTCAAAGAAACTCTTCAGCTCATCAGAATGTTTATAATCGTCCAGATGATCCCATGGCTTGTAGTTTTTGTATGTTTCGTCAAACTTTGTCACAAACACATCATCCTGATATATATGCTGAAGGATATCGAGGAAAAATTTCTGTTTCACCAAGAAGTCCTTATCGGCTACCTTCGACTCAAGGTGCCGGGAATTGCCGAACGAAAACAGAGCGACCACAAGAAAGGCAACCACAGTGATTGACTTCATGTTGAGAAATCATGCTGTGATCCATTTTCATATCGTCTATTTATACCGAAGAAGACGATTCTGAAGCTATTGCATTATCACCATGTAACCTTCGGAACACCCCTAATCTCCCAGCTGCAATGAGAAAGTATACATCCATGACTGTCATGTGTGTGGATGTTTTCATTCTTGCATTCACCTATGTGTCAAGTGTTATCGTAGAGCCTGCTGCACTGAGCGTTATGCACTCTTCTTGCAAAGAAATTAATTCGATTTATTGACGCCTCGATGCCTAGACAGATGTCATTAATCAATAAAACCATAAAACATAAGAAAACACTTGTCATTCATTATTGCAACCTTAACAACATCGAAAAATTCCATTACAATGGGCATTTATTTTGCAAGCATCTAAAAAAGGAATATGCTATCAGAGTTCAATGCCTTCTGTTACAATATTGTTTGAATCGATCGTCGACAAATAGCTGCAATAAGTAAGCGTAGGAAATCTTTTGAGTACAAAATATTTTGAAATACTAGTTATTAGTTATTTTTATCAGTATACTGAAATTGTAAACGAAATGTGATATGGTTGGTAATCACTGTTGATATCTCTTGTCCATTCTATAAACCCATTCGTATACGTAGTTTTGTATTGATTGTTTACCTGTTCATTTCGAATATAATTAACCCATTATTATAGTTTGTGTTTACAGCTTTGAATTCTGCAAGAATGGTAAATAAATAGCTGAGGTGAATGGGTACACTTCCTTGTTTGTGGAAATATAATACAAAGTAGCGTTGCTGGTTTATATTGGGATGTCATTTGCATATTTTTTAATCCTAGTTGTGTCGTTCAGTACGATTCATAAATTAACAATTGACATTCTGATATTCATAGCGTTTTGATAAAAATAGCTTTTGGAGAAAATAAACATCACAAAAACTACATGTCTGATGAGGATTAATAGCAAAATCCAAAACGTTTGACTATCTACAAAATACAAATGGTGCACTAAATAAACCGGCAACACCACTCTAATTGTGGCTCAAGCTCAATTATTGGTTTGGTTTTCATTTTAATAAGCAAATGTCTTATAGTAGGATTACAAATGACATTTGTGTATAACCATTTAAGGGGACTCGCCCCTTTCTAGGTTTCAAAATTAATTTGGTTTTTTATTTAATTCGAACCTACACTAACTCAAGAATGCCCCTAAAATATATCAAGTGCAAATCTCAACAACTATTGAAGATATAGCCGATTTATTGTGTTCGCATCAAATGACGGCAAGAGTGATTCTAAAACTTAAAAGGCGCACGATTACTCAAAAACTACTAATCCACTCACTTCCAATTTTTTTATATAGCTGTGGCATGAACTAGAATAAATCCACTAGGTAAATATCTTCCATATTTCTTGAATTTAGTTTCAGGTCAAAAATAGTCGATTTCCCAATTTTTTACCGAAGTCAATTAACCTACTTCATACGAGAGCCAGACATGTACTCTTTCTAATGCCACAGGCATTTTCCTTAAAAACCAAAAAAGTTTAATGCATGAATATTGAAATGAATGAATTTTGAGTTATCATATCCAGGTAACTTTTTACACAAAAATATACAAATATGATAAACGTGAACTGTACATCCTCAGCATATAAAACTAGCGCTCATGCGTATGTTGGTATGTATAGTTTTTTTTATAATATCTACGGAGCCCTGGTTTGAACTTTAGTGAATGTATTACAATTGTAAAGTTGAGATTAATTTGAACGAAATATGTTACTCGACTCAAATTGTCGCAGGGAATTGGGGTTTAAAACTGATATTTCGACGAGACACATTTGTATACCCTACCCTACATACGCATGTGCAATTTTTATAGTTTGCAGTCGTTGTTCGTTTGTGTATTTTACCACGGTGAACATATTGAGCTTACTGAATAAATTGATTAGATTAGTGGAAGGTTGTGCCATTAACTTAGAATAACTACGTCGTGTCTGTTTGATTACGGGTTCGTTCAACCTTCTCCCATTATTAGCAATGATGTCTAAAGTCATTTATATTTACGGTCGCGTGGGTGACCGCTCAATTTTTTACCACTAATAGTATTTGTAAAATAATACAAAAAAAATTTCAGTGTGAATTGTAAACACTATAATATTCGGTATTTTGGGGAGTTTTCACTTGAATTTACAGTAATGGCTCTAATCGAATATACAAATTAATTCAAGTGTATCTCCTAAAAATATTATAATATAGCTCCCATATAACGGATTTTAGGATTTCGAAGTCAAAAACTATATGTTCCTATCTCTGTAACTGTAATTTCACATTGCGGGGTTTTGGAGGTTGACATAATTTTTCGGTACGTTGATGTTCGTATCCCAGTTTTTAAACCAAACTGAGTGTCTGTGATTTAGTTTTTAAATTTCCCAAATAACCTACTTGCAGAAAATTTACAATAACATAGTTATCATATGTGATTGAATGCACACCACACGCTGGAGGGTACAACAAGTTCGGCTCCTACGTTTTTACTTGTTCCATTTCAAGTCGAAATTTACATATGCAACATTTGTAAGCAACTCTGTTCATAGGAGAGGGAAGTATGACGAGTGGGAAGGGGTAAGCAATTGAAGAGAGAATCGTCAGGGTTATTGGCCCCAACCACGACTTACAGTCAATCATTTTGAAATATTCCATTGGAAATAAAACAAATATGATTTCAAATTATTTGTATATAATTATACTTTTATTTATTTTTGATTTTATTGTATTTTCCGTTTAACATATAAATGGTTTTTCATTTTTTAATTCTGATTTTGTCTTTAAATATTATTTGCACGTTATCATTGACAACTTAAAATTAAATATATTTTTTTTAATTATTTTCTTTTGAACCACTTTAAGCAGCTAAAAAATTTAACTTAACAAAATTATAGATATCCAATAAAAAATGTGAATACAAAATTGTTTTAATTACTTTTTTTTCTGTTGTGTAATGTGGGAGGTTTTTTTCACTTCATTGTTTGTCTTTGCGCTTGACGTAAATGTATTAATTGATTTCCGTTTGTAATTTTTTTCGTACAGGTGTGTATACCATGTAGGCATCCCTTCCATTGGGACAATCAGATTTAATTAATATTGCCCGTCTCTCTGGAGACATTTGTAATTACCTCTTCTTATACTAATATTTGTTATTTATTTGTTTTTTTTTCTAAGTTATTGTTAATATTTTTAATGTTACCTGTAGCTCTTTAGTATAATGTTTGTTGTTATATTAGTTTCATTTAATTTACAATGAATTGTTTGCAAGAGGCACAGAAGAATCTCCCCCGGCCCGTCAGTTTTCAATTCGGTTTGATTTTTAAGTTTACAACAATATGATTTTGTTTTCCTTTTTTTTTGCTTCTTAGTTTTTATTTTACCACAATTGTGTTTAGGTAAAATTACGTATAGTTAAATGCCTTAATTTATTAGCTATATATATATATATATATATATGTGTGTGTATATAGTAATTAATTGTATTTTTTTGGGTTCGGTATGAAATACTTTCTATAGTTAACATTGTTCGGTAGAAACATAAAAGCTAGAAATTAAATGCAATATTCTTTAAATTTCCTATTACAATGTTCGTTTCTTTTCTGTTTTGTTCGCGTTGCTAAATATACATACATATTCATACCATTAACATGTATAATTAAACTAACGGCTTTGAACTGAACGTTCCCTACAAATGACTTAACAAATTATACTTTGTACACAAAAACATACAACAACACTTAGTGATTTATTAGTTCTATCTTTATGGACTTTTTATACAATATTGTGGTTATTATTATTATTTTACAACATGTTTGAGTGATGATGCACGTTGAAGACTGTGTGTGAATGCAGCTAGACGGTCAAAGATGTAAACGAATCGAATAGGGGACTTTATTTATTTTCATATTTGCTTTCGATTGACAAAAGGGCAATTTACTTAAAACGGCATCGTCGAACAAAATGTAAAAAATAAAAAAAAAAAAAAAACAGTATTGGTACATTTATATGAGTTATGGATGTGTGTTGAGAATTTTAGGCAATGTGAAAATGAAAATAGTTTTGACTTCAAAATTAAAACATTTTCAATTAAATTAATTATTGCAAATAGAAAATGTAGTTTAAAATTCCATTTCCGGAAGAAAACAACCAATTGCATTTGCAGTTCGCCTAAAATTAGTTGATTTTGTGGGCGGGTTCTATGCAATTAGTTTGGTCTTTTAACAAAATATCTCCTACTTGTATTGATTTGATTATATTTTAAAAACAAAAATATTATGTAACTGACTTTATATGACATATTGATGTTGTTAGGTAATCTGTGTGATGTTGAGTAACTATGTGTGTATTGTAGATAGGAAAAAGTTGTATGTTTGTCATGTAGCCAATTAAGTAATTCATTGAATTGATGTCATAATTTTGTGGTTAGTTTTTTTACAATTTCCTGTTTATATACATCATCTTATGTAATAAAATATTATTTTTGTTGTATCATCATTATTTTCATTATATTATTTATGTTTCTAGTTTTTTTTCTATATTTTTTATTTACTGTTTTACTGTAATTATACTTATAATTAGTTTCCATTTTTTGTTCTTTTACATTGTTGTTTTCCACATTTTCACTCTTAATTTGTTTTTCATCATTTTTTACATTTGAACACCATTTTTCAATTTTATTATTTACTTTAATTATTACTAAAATGTATTTAACATAAAAATTGATTTGTGACATCTGAGTCGTGAGTTGTGGTCAATAGTCGCCATTGTGTACATATTTTCAGAATAAATGTGCCCTATATCCTAATAGAAGTATTACGAATAAAAGCTGATATATTGCAGTAAAAACATGGAAATTGCTTTTGTGTATCTAAGCGTTATATAACACCCCAAATCGGAAAGAAATGTCTAGCATCTTATGGGAGAATCAGAAAAGTTACATCTTATATAAGAAGACATTGACAATTTTTAAAGTCATTTTATATGGTGGATTCTTACTTACTCTCACATACTTTTATTATATTTAGAAATTCCAAGAAGCCCTGGTCAACGTCTTACAGTTCCACACAGAATAGTTATATACAGGCACAAATTAGAAAAAATGGTTTTAGATTTTAAGCGTGGTTAGAAATTAAATGAATTGTTTGAGGAACTGCCTAAAAAACAGTTTATGGGAAATTTTACACTTTTCGAATATGTTTCATATATCATTTCTTAATGTGGTCTACTTTCTTACTAAAATAGATGGGGGAAAAATGACATGACACATTTCCCGACTTTTGTTTTCCTTTGTTTACTGTATACATTTTGAAATCTAGAAAGCTATTAACCATTTATAGTGTTTTAACTGAATTCCAGTTGTCATAGACGCCATAAGATTAGAATTCCCTTTCAATGGCTTTACAATGCGAATATCTCATCATTCGTTTGCTAAAATAAACTAGAAGTAGGGCACTTTAAATTAAATTATTTACTTATTGTATGTGACAGTTGTAGTAGCTCTCCTGTGTTTGTTGGTTTAATGTTTTGTATGTGCGGACGCGTGTGTGTGTGTGTGTCTGTTTGTATGTGTTTTTTATGTTAAACCAATATTCATATGTCAAAATTATCATAATTTTATTTGCTTTTGCGCTTTTTTTCCTTGGCCGTATAAAATTTAATTAAACAATTTCAACATTTTAATAAAATAATAATAATAAACAGTTATTTCATTTTTTGGTATCCAATATTGTACGTTTTATTTATTAAACATAAACAAAAAGTTTATCTGGCGATTGTTTATTTACCACGGCGGACTTCTGGCACCTGGCTCTTTTCATATTGTTGTTGTTGCTATTTCCCAATCGATTTTCCCAGATCGAATTGGAGTTTCAACAATGCTTTGCATATGCTTGAGTGTTTGTGTGAGTATTGTGTCGCTGTGTGTATGTGTGTTGCCTATTATCTATGGATTGTTATTGTTTGTTTTTGTCATGTTATTGTTTACTTATCATATAGTATTTGTTGTTGTTGTTATTTTGTTTTTTTTTGCGCAATGCAATAATTTTATTATAATTATTAAATTGTTTTTATTGTGTATATTTGTATGTGAGTGTGTGTGAGTAAACGTGTTTCTTATTTTAACAGAAAATTGTATAATTTTAATTTATTTGATTTCAGCATTTATGAACAATTGCCATTTGGTCACAGTTGAAGGTATTGTCGTGCTGATATCACGGGCGCTACACAAAGACCAGAACTTCTCCCTCTGCAAAGCACAATATATCTCAGGAGGAATCCTATGATCAGTGCCAGTGGCAAGAACGATGGTGTACATTTCGACCCAGTGCCGGTCAATGCAGAATTGTCCGGGTCCCCATTCATGCGTTTCGAGCCCTCAAGACCCAAAAGATTTGGCGAAATAGTTGTTGGTGGTCCAATGCTGAGGTATATACGGTTCTGCACATTTTTATGAAAGACGTGCAGAATAGAGACCTCGCACAGCAGCAGTATACTGGTTTGATATTTTGGCATGGCTTGGAAGAATCCCTGCAGCACCTGACTGTGGGGATAAATATCCAGGGATGACACAGTGCCGGAACCTTCGCTGGTCGTTTGTGTAATCCGTTGAAATGGTGTTTTATAGACCTATATGAACAAATAAGATAAAAATTATATTTTTTATATTTCAAAATTGTTTATTTAGAGACAAATTTAAATTAATTTAAAGTCAAATTAAAGTGAATTTAATGATATTATACCTATTTAAGTTACTACTCCTTACCTTTCTGCCATTTATGTACCACGTTATGTTTGCTGCAGGATACGAAGGCCCAATTGTGCAGACAGCCTTAAAGTAATCGTTGGCGGTTATTGTTTTCTTTTCAACCTGCATGGTGGGATCGTCTTTTGGTAATTCAATGACCTGCATATGAGCCGATCGGATGTCTGTGTGGAAGAGAGGGGCATCTTCGGAAACTTCACATTGATAACTGCCCGTCAATTCGCGTGTAACGCCTTTCAAGGTGACTGAGGTTGCATCTGAATTTGAGAGCTGCAATAGAAAATAACAAAAAGCGCGATAACACACAATGGGGAATATATTATAAAACTGAGTGAAATAATTTTGATAACACAAGAAGCAACATAGAGAAATAAATTAACAAAAAAATCAGCGATTAATGATCAAAAAAATCAGCTAAAAATAAACTCGACGCTGATAAGACGGCACATATGCCTACATCAGGCGGTTGGAGAACAATTAATTTCTGTTGAATCTAAGGTGTTATTTTTTTTTGGAATAGTCAGAAAATCCATGAATATGTTCAAAATATTACTATGGATTTATGAATATATTAATTTTAATAACTTGAAACCAGATTTGTATCGTATTTCAGACCTCATTATGTAAGCGCAAGTTCTACATTTACGCATTTCCTAATAGTAGCTTTGGGTGTGCTCTCAATTAAATTTCAGTCGTCAATAGATGTTTTATTGTAAAATACAATTCAATATAAAAAACTTTTATTCGCTTTGTTGCGACATTGGATGTGCTTCTAATAAATTACTAGATTATGATTTTTTACACATCAACATTAATATATACAATTACTATTATTTGATCGATTTTCATTTTCTTAATTATCTAACGTTGATTGGTAATATTAACCCTTTGAGCCCCGATTTTTCCGCAATCTTGGAACAAATTTCTGTTCACAGATTTAATGCAACTAACCTAAATAGGATATGCACAAAATTTGACATCGCTACATCCCTGCATTCGGGAGATACAGTACATTATTTCGGATAAATTAAAGTCCAATATAAAGAAAACCAAATGCAGAATCGACAGAAAAATCATTTTAAATTATTCTCTATATTAATTTTTACAAGAATCAAAAATAATTCCGATGGCAGAATTCGTACAATTCGAATGCGACGCGATTTAAAAAATTTGGACTGTATACTAGTACTGTACACAAAATTACCCTCTTCTCTATATTAAAAAAGCTAACACCTTTACCAAAATTTTGATTTTTTTAAATTTTTCTTTTGATGTGTGTCGTCCATAATCAGGTCTTGGCATATGAAATCCAAACAATATATATCTACCATATATCTATATCTAAATATAAGCTCTAAAACACTTTGTTGCCTGTGAGAAAGATTGGGCCACAAAGGGTTAAAAGTACATTTATATGGAATAATGTCTTGTACATTAACGGTACATTTCAACAGTCAACAGTTTATCTATTTCTCATTAACGATAAAAAGGAAGCTATATTTGATATGGAAGAGAAAAACAGAAAATATGGGAAGAATTACTTTGAAATGTAAAAAGTGAAATTTATTGCAGAAATGCTCAAAAAAATACATTCACATGTTTTATCGATTACCAGAAAGCTTTCGGCTCCGTCAAGCATGACAAGTTAATGAAAATACTCAACTCTATAGGAATACCAAGGAAGGAACAGCGTTATATAAGGAAATTGTACTGGAACCAAGCAGCAATGAAAAACCCATCTCAAAAGGGGTAAGGCAAGGGTGTCTGTTATGCCCACTACATTTTCATATATACTCTGGGAAAATATTTCAAGAATCACTCGAAGGCGAAACTTTCGGAAGTCATATCTGTTCTTCAAAATTGATTGAAAAACTTGCACATACAAGTGAGAAGTATGGAACCAAATTAATATGAAGTAAACAAAATACATAGTGATTAGCAGGAAAAATACATACATAGATGTAGCGCTAAAATTCAAAATTCTGAAAAAGAAGTTATAAAGACACCTCAAAAGAAAACCAAATAAGAGAGATGCCCTTTTAAAATACCAAGAACTCTTGGTATAAATGTAACAACAAAAATGCTAAGTTTGGTCAGTTCTGCTATATGGTACCAAAGTTTACGAAAGTTGGCCGCATTCGAAATGTGGATTAACGACGAGTACTGAAAATACAATGGACCTCATAAACCACAAACGGCAAAGTACTTAGAAGAATGAATGTAGACCGGCAAGTAATAAAGATAATAAAAATACGCCAAATATTGTATCTTAGGCATTTACTGAGAAACACCAAATATGACTTCCTAAAAGCTTTAATCAAAGTCAAAATTGAAGGGGAAGGGACTTGAGGCAGAAAATTAACATCATGAATCACGGACTGGAAGTGATTAAATGACGAATATACAATTCTACATGCAGCCAAAATCATTGTAAACCAACAACATCGGATAACGGATGAGTAAAAACGAAGAAGAAGGTCCACAATATCTGACCTAAACGAAATAATTCGTTAGTCGTTGTAAGCTAAGGCAGAAGTTTTTTCGGGACTTCTAGATACCGTTATTATAACTGATATTTCCTTAAAAACGATGTCGTTAAAAAATTAGTTGGACTTACGTATATTTTCGTCTTATAGATGCGAACTTTTGAACGAGCAAGGATCTGCTGCTGATTGATTTAAAAAGGAAAATTATGAAAGTAATAAAATAATATTTAAATGTTTGAAGTTTTTAACAAACCCCCACTGTGGTGGGTACACGGAGTTCTGTCCGGTCATTTCACTTATCACCGAAAACATGAAGGTATATGGCATGTTCGTACAATTTTTTATACTCTATTGGTATTGTATTTAATTTGTAATTAAAATTTTGTTATATTATTTTATTGTTTCTGATTGCGTGCAACTGTGTCTGGCTTGTAGTGACATGTACACTTCATTAAGTACCAACGCTGGAAGCCATGTTAACATAATAAACTACCAGTTCGACTACCTGACTGCCCAGGGCGAATGTCGTGAACGGTGTAGGCCCTTGCCGCCGCTGTATCGATGTGTTGCCAAATTCTGACAATATAATTTATGAATAGCATTCGGTAGCTGTGGCACAGCATTTTCCTATGGCTTTGCAGCTTACCCTTGCTATTGGCGTGCCAAGGACAGAAATTGAAATATACATAAATTTTTAAATTTCAATTTTAGGTGTGACCAATTTATTGTCTATAAATTTAATAGAATTTGTGTAAATTAAAGCCTGAAGCTTTTTGTTGTTAATTTGTAATTGGGTTTTGGCAGCCGTAGCGGCGCCATTTTCTACGCAGACAGGTGCAAATGTTTACAAAGGAATTATTATTTTTTACTTGTTTGTCGTTCGGTTCAACTCCATTACCTTTTACAATCAAGTGTCGACATAGCCACTTCACAAGTCGACAGTGAATATGGGCCTAAATTGAAAATTTATGTTGTAAAAATTTCGTTACCGCAAATTTTCAATTTGTCTACCACCCTTGCGGTGTTTCGTGCAGTGAAATGGCCGCAAACGAGTGTCAGCCCCAATCATGCATGCACACATTCATATACACCCGGCAAGTATAGTCTGTGCAGGAAATGGCTAAAAGAGCTTGTGAACGACAGCATTAATGGATGCGAGACCAGGATTTAGGAAGGAATTGATGAACTTATGAATAGAATGTCATAACCTAATAGTTAATTTTGAATGTCACTTGGCGATTTTAGGATATATTTATGAATTACTTGAATATTCTTTTGTTGTTGTTTTTTTTTTAACTTTATGTCAGATTGGCCTGGTCTAGAATTTAATAAAAATTATTGTTGCCATTCAGATCCCTGTTAAAATGCATACGATTCCAATTCAACATATTGTATGTACGATCTACGATGACTGTATGTATATACCAATCCATGACATCTCCATGCACCAGCTGTAAATGTGTTTCGACCACAAACAAACCCTTTATCAATTTTCGATAACTTAATTAAAACAAATTGAAATTTGGTCAACAATGTTGGTTTTGGTTTGAGTGCGTCGTGGTTATTCGTGTTATGGTTGTAGACGACAAGGGGGTGTTCCGTGACATGGAATATGTTTTTGAATTTATCCCATAAACACTCAGTATGACACTCCCATTTTGTTGTCCCATCCCATTCAGTGTATGCGTGAAGTTCGCATCGAACCATCCAAGTGGTTAACGGACACTTGTTCTCAGCGCCGTCATGCACACATATTGTTAGGACGAATGTATTGAAAATATAAAATAGTTTTTTTGAATGAATGACTAGATTTTACATAACTCGAAATAAACACTAATCTATGTATATCGATTCCTAACAATTCACATACATAACTGGATTTTTGTTTTCAACGAATATGGAAACTAAACTGAATTTTTCGGGTATCTTCTCATCCGCAATCAATGAATGAACCTCAGGGTGATGGTATGTCAGCTGCAACCATGGTTATTTGTGTAAGCCGCATCGGGAATTATGAAACGTGCATGATATACCGCGGGGCAATATTTTTTTTCCATACGAACACTACTTGAACACTATCGAACAAAAGGTTTGATTGCAATTTATATGTAGAAAACAGCAATATATATTTTTGTATAGAAAATATATACTATATACTTGAAATCGAAACACACAAACATTTTGGCAAATTAAAAAAAAAAAACTATATATAGAAAATATAAAATCTAAATACAGTTTCGAACATACAAAATGCAACAGCGAGTAAAATTATGTTTAAGTCCGGTAATTTTATAAGTATTTGTCCTTTTGTAAAAAAGGATTTAACTTTTCTAAACCGAATTTGGAACGAACTTGCTTTAGTTTGAAAACTTATAATTGAAACAATAAACGGCAAAAGAAAAGTTACCGTTAATTTGAAACAAATGTAATGCAGTGGCTCACTACTAAAATTAACAGTCTGTAAGGTTGAAGGGCGTTTTTATTCTTTCACAACGTTTATACTTGGTATCGATCCTTAACAATGACATCTCTATGCATTTGAAATGAGACGAAACATGACTTAAAAATTATTTCATTGCTCTGCTGCATAGCATTACCATATCGGACATTTTACCCTACTTGAAATGTGTCTGCTGACAGCTGCCTAATGAACTCGATGAACATTCCTGCAAGCTTGCCTACCGACTGAAACAAGCCGACACCAGACGGCCCAGCTGTAGTTGTTCTTAAGGCTGGATGGGAAATTTACATTTTGTTGCAAATGTCGCCAGTCTATGTCGGCAT